TGGTGATATAACGAAATTTTAAAGGATCATAGCCAAAAAAAAAAAAAAAAGCTGAATGAAACATATACAAAAAAACATGAATTCACTTTTAAAAACTTAATTCGTCTTATTCTACAAATAAATCACAAGAGAAAAAAGTAGAGAAGGAACCAGACGCTAAAAATAAAGACTTAATGTTGGAAGTATAGCTCAGAAATTAAGGGCGTGCTTAGCCTTGTGAGGCTCTGGGCTTAATCCTCAGGCCCCAACACTAAAAAATAATTCAAAACAACCTGAAATACATATCAATCATAATATATGAACCAAATTTGGATCCTGATTTAAACTTTTTAAAGTTGTTAGAGGCTATCATTAGGGAAACCTAAGCAAACAGTATAATTTTTTTTTTGGTACCAGGAATTGAACTCAGGACCTTGTACTTGCCAGGACAGGCATTTGTGCTACTGAGCTATATTCCTGGCCCTATAATTTCTTTAAAACTATAATCATATATAAGGTGTCATGTGTGACTCTTTAACCTACATACATTTATAAGCTTGATAAAAATAAAAATAAAATATTAACACCATATAAAAAATTCAACAGCTATGAATTGAAGATTATTGTTCTCGTTTTACAAGTGTGCATACTTCTATGAAAGCAGATAAACTGGCACTCATGATAGCTGTAATCTGCACTGTCCAAAGAAATAAAATTATACACAAATTTTAATACTGACTGGATCATGGCAAACAAGACTACGGCCACTTCTAGGTAAAAATCAGAGTACTGAAATTATCTTTTAAAGAAGTTCTTTAGCTAAGAATATAACTCAGCGGTAGAGCACTTACTTAGCATGTGCAAGGCCCTGTGTTCAATTCCCAGTAACACATATACTTACTCTATCTTCTAGAGAAACAGACTGAAATATTCATATAAGAAACAATGCAAGGTCTGGGATTTGCATCAAAATAACACAGTAAAGGCAAGAGTGGTGTTGCACACCTATAATCACGACACTTGGGAGGCTGAGACAGATGGTAGCATGAGTTCAAGTCTTGACTGGACAACTTAGGAGACCCTGTCTCAAAATAAGAAATAAAGGATGTGGGATGCAGCTCAGTGAAAAGGCCCTATGTTCAACGCCCAGTATAACAAAAACAAACTACA